GTTCATAAATCCCCTCTCAGCCGTCTCCTTTCCAGGCTGAACAGCCCCAGGTCTCTCCGTCTCTCTTCCCAGCAGAGATGTTCAGTCCCTTGATCCCCCTCGTAGCTCTCCCTTGGACTCTCTCCAGTAGGTCCCTGTCTCTCTGGAACTGGGGAGCCCCAAACTGGACCCAGGGTTCCAGGGGTGGTCTCCCCAGGGCAGAGCAGAGGGGCAGGAGAACCTCCCTGGCCCTGCTGGACACACTTTTCTTAATGCACCCACGTGGCTGTAGCTATAAAGCCTTTGTTGCAAAAGCTTCTAGTTCAGGGATTTTTTAAAAGGAGGGGGAATCTAAGGCTAACTGGTCTCCAGAAAAGCACCTAGACTGAGCTCTCCCTTATTTTCCTCATTACAAAGGTTCGTTAAGAATCCTTTTTTTTCTGGAAAGGGAAGGATTTTACTGGAGAAGGCGAGATTTCTCCTAAACAAACAGATTGGTGGCAGCGAGTGAGCGGCAGAGGCCGGGTTGCTGACGTTTGATGGTGACGTTCCCCTCACTGTACCAATACCTTCTCATAGTTACACTGGCCAGGGCGGCCAGGAGTCTGAGGACTATGAGAGCGAGGAGCAGCTGCAGCATCGAATCCTCACAGCGGCGCTGGAGTTTGTGCCTGAACATGGCTGGACTGCAGAAGCCATTGCAGAGGGAGCCAAGGTATGTGGGGAGAGAAGCAAAAAACCAGTGGAAAACTGGATGGAGCTGAAGTCCAAAGACAGCCAGGCCTGCATGCTTCCCCCACATACTCTTGGGCGATGCACCCTAGTCAGCAAACGGTACCGGGCAGGAATGTGTCCCAGGTACTCTGTGATAAACCCCAGCAAAGTTAAACTAAGGCATGATCCTAAAGAGAAGAAAACGTGTCCAGGAAGCGCTTTTTAATGCAGTGTTGCTTTGTTTAAATTCATACAACTTCATTCATGAAATAAATAACGATCCTAGCTGGGTCGTGCTTAGCCGTGGATGACCTAGTCTGTGCTTCTCCCTGCCTGCCTGCAGACCCTGGGTCTCTCTGGTGCTGCCGCGGGGATGTTTCACAGCGACGGCAGCGAACTGGTCCTGCACTTTGTGTCTCAGTGCAACATCAAGCTGTCTGAGCTGCTGGAGCAGGAACAGAACCGAGTGCAGCTGGGCGAAGCAGAGTGAGTATCGGGCGTGAAAAGACACCTTCCTCAGCAGATGGAGATGCCACCTGGGGCGCAGGTGGAGGATACGTAACGCTCGGGCGTTCTTCATATTTATATTTTGTTTTTCTCACCCAGGAAGAAGCCTACAGATCAGTTCCTGAGAGATGCTGTGGAAGCCAGACTGAGGATGCTGATTCCATACATTGACAAATGGCCCCAGGTATAAAACAAGTACAAGGCAGTCTCTTTTTTGTATGGGTGTGTGTGTTTTAAACACCCTGTGGCCTTCAACATAGTCTCTTCGCCAGAGTAGTTCAAGGATCTAAATGAAACCCTTGCTGGTTTCAGATAATTTGTAGCCTGCAAGAGGAGGGCAACTTTGGAAAAAAGCAGTTAAAGGTGTCCTTAGAACAACAATTTCTTGCAGTTCCGGAAAGGCAAACCTCTCCTTCCTTGACTCCTCCCATCTGGGATGCCCCAGGGATAACCTGTGTCTCTGCTCAGCCCTGTTTGCAATGTCACTGCCCATCAGGCTCCTTGCAGCGTTGTTCTGGCTCCACTGCTACCACCCAACACCTGGAAATGTGGAACCGCTGCTTTGTTGCAAGAAACCACCAGCCTAGAGTGCGAACGACAAACCTTAGGCAACCTGAGGATAGATCTGTGACCTGGGAGGGCTCCGTGCTTCCAAATTCAGATTTAAGTCTCCAGATGTTCTTTCCAGGGTGGGAAGGGACTCAAATTGTGGCCTTGGTGACAAGCCTGCAAAGATTGCTGCCAAGTTGGTCTCCACTGTCCAGGATCACTGCTGGACCCAGCGCTCCTTGCAGAAAGAAAAGACTGGATTCGTGTTTTTGTTCCAGATTAGCGTAGCTTGTCTTGTGAAGGATCCTTGTGAAGGACGTGGGCGCTTGGGGACTCTCCCGGCGTTGTGTTATTATGTTCCAAGGCCAAGAGATCCCAGCAGGGCCATTACTTGCTGGCTGCTCTGCCCACGGTTGCTGCTTTGAGTTCAAAGTCAAATTAAGAGAAATGAGCTTTAGCGCTGTTTTGTTCTCTCATCTCCTTTGCAGGCTATGAGCATCCTGTTGCTGGGACTCCCTGCTTGTAGTGTGAGTCAGCTCCGCCCCGGCTGCATTTCTCTGCCTGGGGAAGCAGCTTGGGAGGGACGTCGCGGCTGCCGCGTTCGAGCTGAGCAGGGAGCTCTGGGCTCCAGTACAGGCTGAAGCCTGAGCTCAGTTGCCACACTGTACATTCCCCGGGTGCCCGGCCACTTGAAAAGACCGCTGCTAGCTGAAAAAAGCTGAGAGGACTTGTCACTGGGAGCTGGAGGCGAGCCAAGAGCAATAAAAATAAAATAAAATAAGACAGAGCAGAGCATTGTTGGTCTGCTTTAGCGCTGTTTTGTTCTCTCGTCTCCTTTGCAGGCTATGAGCATCCTGTTGC